GGAATGTATGACTTTTAAAATCATAATTATTCACAAAAAAATTTAACAAACAAATAATGTATAATAATAAAAGGAATGCTTTAATTAAGAAAAATATTTGTTGAGTGTATATATTGACAGGGCTGGATTGCAGGAAAAAATTGAATTGATTGAGTGAATACGTATAAACTGGTGGAAAATTAGATTTATTGACAGAACGGATTGCGGATAGCCTTAGAATTTAGAAATATGAAATCTTAAATATATACTAGGGTAGTAGTATGTCAAAGGTGAAGCCAAACTATGGATTTAATTGTAAAGTACAGCCGTACAGGAAGTATCATTTAGTTCAAAATTGACACTCCATGCCTCCCCCATATCTCAACAGTCAACCATGTCAATGCATTTGTCCCCTGTACTTCAAACCGTCCCTGTACCTGTGATAGTCTATATATTCTCAGAGGTCAATATAATTAATGGAGGTTATGGAGGGATTATATTATATTATACTCCGTATATATTCACTTCTAAAACAAAAAACAAATGTAATTCTAGGCATCAAGATAAGCTGCGTGTTAAAGCCGCGTGCGTAGTTGAGTTACGGAGGGAGCACTAGCTTGGATGAAATTATTATTATTTTTTTGACAAGAAATTAATTAGGACCTATTCAACACTCAATATTTTCAATTACTTGGGGAAAAATGATTGGGTACACAAAATGTGTACACATGTCTGTCATTCACAGAAACTTTGTTTGTCACAGACAATTCAAAATGAGTTGTCTGTGACAAACAAAATTTCTGTGAAGGACAGACATGTGTACACATTTTGTGTACCCGGCAAAACTCTTACTTGGGACAGGAGCAAAATATATACTTCTGAGAAATGATAGATATCACAATGCAATCTGCAAAGACCAATAATTGTTGTACAAGACATTTCTTGAAGGGAAAATGGAAACTAATAATCCAACCTTTTAGCGGTCTTCTTTCAATAATCCCACCTTTTGATTATTCATGAATAATCCAACCTTTGCACCTCATCTTCATTCATTGGTCCCTGGTCGGTGAATGACCTACTATTCCAAATTATTTTCTTATCTTTGCAAACTATTATCTTTGTGAAAGATGAGATTTATGGTATAATGATTTGCAAATATAAGAAAATAGCTTGGAATAGCAGGTTATCAACCGGTCAGGGACCAGTGAATGAAGATGAGGTGCAAAGGTTAGATTATTCATGAAAAACCAAAATGTTGGATTATTGTAAGAAGACCGCTAAAAGGTTGGATTATTAGTTTCCATTTTCCCTTTCTTGAAGGAACCTTTACAAAGTCTTCAAAAGATTTTAATTCATGCCCGAAAATAGTACTACCTTCGTCCCATTAGAAGGTTCTCGTCCACGATTCACATATATGGTCAACTTAAATAATTTTTAATCTTTTAAGTTATATATCTAATTTTTATCGAAGTTACATTTTTTATCAGATTTTGAAGCGGTTTTAATGTAGTTTCTGAATACGTAAATTTTATTTACTAAAAATGATTAGAGCGTGAACAAAGATTAAGTTGATTTATCGTCAGTCAAACATGGTAAACCGTTGACGGCAACCTTCTACCGAGTAACTTTTACTCTAGGCCTCCACTACATTAATTTCATAGACATTACCACAGTAACTTTTACTCTAGGCCTCCACTTTTACTCTGGGCCTATACTTTAACTCTTAGGGTCTGTTTGCAACAGCTTCTGCTTTTAAAAAAGTGCTTTTTTTAATGAAATGAGGAAAAGTGATTAAATAAAAGTTGATAGTATTTGAGAAAAAAGTGATTTTGAAAAGTAAAAGTGGGTAGTGTTTGGTAAAATAAGTGTTTTTTGTGTAATAGAAAAAGTAAAAGCACTTTTGACGCGGAAGCCGAGAAAAATAAAAGTTGCAGTGTTTGGGAAAATAAGTGCTTTTTTAAAGCCAAAAGCTGAGAAGTGTTTTTTTAAAAGCAATTGCAAATCAACCCTTAATACCGGTAACTTTTACCGGTTTTTGTTTGTATTCTTAATTCCACATTACCGCGTTTTTCATTATCTTTTTTGAGATATTTAAAAGGAAATAGCTCGTTGTATGACTAAAACATGTTTGGTTTTCTCCTAAAATGGGAATAAACCTTACCTTTATATCTCTAATTTAATACTCACTCCGTCTCAAGTTGGTGATCTTATACTTTTGGGGTTCAAATATTATGAAAGTGGGGTAGAATGACTCATATAACCTTACATTATTGTACTATTCATTCCTTTGCTTTTACTATTCATAAAGGGGGTATAAATGGTAACCTCTTTTAATTTCCTTACCAAAAAGAGAAATAAGACTATCATTTTGGGACAACCCAAATAAGAAATACAGGACCATCATTTTGGGACGGATGGAGTAACTAATCAATTAGTTTATCCCCCAGTTCTCTTGCATTACCAGAGTCTATCTGTTGGTGGCAAGTCAATCCAGTGATAACGGCAACTCGGGGTCGATGGCAAACTTCGTCAGCAGATCGACGGTGCAATTTTGAAAGGAAAAAATTGGGTCTCGCGACAGGCGGACTAGCAGCCTGGCGACCGGGGGGGCAGCAGTTCTCGCTAGTCCTAGCGACAAGGGTAGCAGTTTTCCACCCCTATGAGGCTATTTTGATACAGTCATAAATAAAAAGTGCTTTTTATGACTGTTTATACTAGTAGGTCCTATTTCAGAAAAACAGCATTGTTTCCATCTTATTTGAATGAATCTACCTTTATAAAACACTCAAATTTTAATTTATTTGGAAAAATTGATAGTAATAATCCCAACTATTGGCGGTCCACCCATAATAATCCCAAGTATCGATTATTTCAAAATAATCCTAACTTTAGGGACCTTCCGCCAATAATAGTCCCTATAAATAAATTCTTGTAGTTTTTAAAGTGGATGAGAAGAGATATAACAAGTAATCCTTATAAATAATCCTAACTTTTAAATTTTACGCTTAATTTCTATTTAAAAATCACTTTTTGTAGGAGGTAATATCTGGTCATGGACCATTATTGGCAGACGGTCCATATAGTTGGGATTATACAAAAATAATCAATAGTTGGGATTATTGTCACCGGACCGGCAATAGTTGAGATTATTGTTTTCAATTTTTCCTTTTATTTCAAGAGACAGGCTCAATCAAACTTTAAAAGTGTGAATAATTGGTCTCACTTTGTTTTAACTTTTAGTCATTCATCAAATTCTAAGCAATTCCACATAAATCTTACCTTGAACATTATTAGTGTGAGGATATACATAAATCATACCTTGATCGAAGGCTTGAACAGGTGTAAGAAGTTACAAAAATTTGGGGTGTGAGGATATAGTCATATATCCTCACATTATTAGTGTGAGGATATACATAAAAGGTGGTGGGGTTGGTTTTGTGCACATCCCAATTATGAAAATTTGCCATGTTTTCTCTTTATATGCAGGATTAGACATTCTGGTAAACTTGTTTTTTACTAGTATATGAACTGCGTGGACCATGAGAGGGGGGGAAATATTGTTGTGTATGACTTCATGTAGATACTATGTAGTATAAGAGTAGCCTCTAGATCGAGCAATCCCTTGCTAGGACCGGCCAACATATTGGTAGGCGCCAAGACGAGAAGGTACAAGTGGGGTTGAGGGCATGGAGTAAGGAGATGCTTAGGCAAAGAATAAAGTTTATGCAACACCCTCCAGAAATTAAAAGAATAAAAATTGTTATCCATACCAACAAGATGTATTTCGTTAGAGTGATCATTGGCTATGAATTTTCTAGTTAAGAGTGTTTGTACGGGATCAATCTTGGGATGGTGAATCAAGACGTACTACAATAGTAGGAAAGTCGAGAGTTCGACTGTTCGAGTACACAAATTGGGAAAAAGATTCCTAAAGTGTGCACGAGTGAGGCCAATGTATATCATAAAGATTTGTATTGTTTTGTGGTAATAGCTAGGAGTAATCACCTTAACAAACAATTTACATTCCTAAGTGTGGGTTATTGTGATACTCGAAAAAAATTGAATGAAATAAAAGTCTCTCATACAAAAAAGATGGATGCATCTTCTTTCAAGGAGACTCATTTATAAGAACTCTTCACTTAAGTGTGAGCAAGTGCGGAGCTAGAAAGGGGCCAACCTATGCTCTGGCTTACCCCAAATTAAATAATACCTTAATTTTTAAGGTAAAAATTCCATGTAATTTTTTTTTCAAAAATATTCTTTGTACCGATCTAGTCCGGTCTATGGGCGGAGCTAGGGGTGGGCCAATCTAGGTCCTGGCCTACCCCAAATTTTAAAAATGGCGTAATTTGAAGGTGAAAAAATTCGTATAAAATTTTTTCTAACAATTTTTTTTTGTGCCAGTCCGGTCTAGTGCTTTGGTTCCGTCCCTAGTTCGATCTAGTGCTCTGGCTCCGCCCCTAAATTCAAGTATGGACTATTGAGTGAGTTGAGCATCTAGTTAGGAGTCATCACATTAGATCATGTGGGCGGGTGTGTTATGAGTAATTGACCACAGTAAGATGAGTGTGAATGAAAGTGAGAGAGATGAATGAATGAGAGCAACAAGGAATTGAATCCTTGAAAAAAGCGGACGAGTCACTATCTGGGAGATAACAATGCAAACTTGTTTGTAACTTGAACCCCTAGACTCTCAAGAAGGTCAGGAAGATCCGAAGATAAGGCATTATGAACTGATTTGGTTCTATATTTCTCTTTTTAAATTTTAGTTTAATAATATACATGTCCTCTAATGTAACTCTGATTTTAGATGCCGCCATACCGGGGTATATTAACTTTAAGAAATTACCCTCAATGGGAGTTAAACATATGGAATTTTTTTATTCCCCAGATAGGAGCTGCTGTCTGCCGCCATAAGCAAATTTTTTATTTTTATTTTTTCCTAAAAGGCTCTTACTTTACATGGAAGCTTTGCCACATAAGCTACCTGTTTCTAACCGCTTCTTCCGGTTGGAGATTTCCTGCGCAGCTTTCAATATTTCTTTCCTTCTTATGGATCGTCTTTATTCTTTCTTCTCTTCCGACGTGCCATTGCTGCTAATTTTGTGAACTTAGTTGTTTCGTTCATGTTACGCATTGTTGTCCCCTGCGTTTTCCGCAGGTAAGCTTAAAGCTTGATTTTCTGGAATATTCATTACATCTATCTTCGAACGTATTGCTAATCATATTCTGGAATGCTGATTATATTTAATTGTGCATATATGTCTTTTGCAAATAAATTCTAATAGGTTCGGTTTAGTTTAAATGTAATTCGTATTTGTTTTATGATTTTTTTGGTATGTAAATTTCTTGTCTAAGAGTTTCGATATATGTTGTCCAATTGGTGATTTATATTGTGATTCGATGTTGTTTGAGTATCGATTTTTATTTTTCTATTATTTCATTTGTTTTATGTCATTGTTAACTACTCTTTGTTTGGCATTAAATGTCATAATAACGGTTTTACTTTTCTGATTTATGTATTATGTTGTGTTGCTATTTTTCTTTTACTCAGTTGTTCCCAACTTTTCATTGTTTTTAGGCATTAATTTCTACAAATGGTTGTTGTGTTGCTTGTTATGCTTAAATTGAATGGTACATGGTTGTCTGACTATACATTTACAAGTATGGATACATTTGGTATTCATATTGGAGTTGATTCTTCCTATACGAGCTTAATTGATCTGCTGAGTGGCATCTTAAATCAGTACTAGGCAAATCACTCATTCAGGCTTTCTTATATGGTTGATGGTTGCCCGCCTCTTGTTTTTATTGTTGATGATGAAACTTTGAAATTGTATCTTTATTTGAAGTGTTTGTAGACGGATGTTGCAAAGTTTCCACTATGTGTGGAGTTTAAGTCTGAAACTGTTTCTGTTCTTCATGATTTTTTACCAGTTCATAACTCAGTTGCACATGGTTCTAGTACATCTTCATTGTCTTTGCATGTGAGTGACTCTGATTGTAGTAATCAAGGGAATGAGTTGCATAGCAATTTGGCTTCTATTGATGAAGAAGAAGATTTTTCCTCTTCATCAGAAAGCAATATTTCATCATCAACTGTTTTGCCTAATTTTTCTGGTGTTTGTTCTAAATCATTATCCTTACAGTGTGTCTCTGCTAACCACCCTGTTGACGTAATTAGTCATTATCATCCAACATGTGTTATGATTAATATTATTTACAAGAACAAGACTGACTTACTTCATCATTTAAAGTTGTATGCCATCATCAACAGTTTCCAATTCAGAACTCTGACATCAAAGAAGAAAGAATTACACATTATTTGTTTGGATGGTGTCCATATGTTTGAGTTTAGAAGGTATGTTGACATGCTACTTATATCTAATACTTTTGTTTTTGTTTTTCTCATTTGTGTGTGTGTATTATGTGATAACATTTTGTTCTTTGTCTTCAATTGCATTTATTGTGTACACTTTCTCTGTTGACTATAGGCAATTTAACAGTAGACAGGCAACATCAAGTGTTGTTGTTAATCTTGTGGCTCATAAATTTTTGGATGCTTTTGTAAAACCTTATACGCCAAAACAGATATAGAATGATATGAATCTGGAATATGGGATTTATGTGTCATACAAGAAAGCTTGGCAAGTACAGAAACATGCAATGGAAAGGCAGTTCGGATCTGATGCAGAGTCATACCCGAAGCTATCTTCAATGGCGTATGTACTTGAAGAAGCAAATCCAGATTCTACCATAAAACTTATAACTGCTGCTGATGGTGCGTTTCGGTATTTTTTTTATTTCACTCAAACCTTGGCGTGAAGCATGGGACTTTTGTAGACCAATACTTATCTTAGATGGCTCGTTCATGAAGGCATATTACAAAGGTACTTTGCTTACAGCTTGTGCTCAAGATGCCAAATAGGACTTTTATTTTGGCATAGTTTCTATGTTCTACTCCCATATTGAGAATTTTCTCTTTAACTTTTTGTCAAATACTTCATCCATATAATATTTCATATTCTGAATTGTAAAATTCAGTTCGAGTCAATATATTAGTTCAGACAATAACTGCTGATCTTAATATAACTTAATTACGGGAATGGCTCAAACCTAATTTTAAACTCTCTCGTGCCTTAAATTTCTCACTTTTATTTAATGGATATCCCTAAATAGAGTGTTCTTTCTCTATTTACGAAACAAATTTATATCAATTTACTCTATTACTCTTAAATGATAATGAGAGCGCAGTGCAATATAGTACTCCGTATTAAACAGTGACAAAACAAATAGCATACTCTGCAGTAAAAATAATTACCCCTCAATACAAGACATTTCAGAGAAGTGAAAAAAAATCCTTAATATGTGTGCAATTAAAAGCGGGATGAAAAGAATATTTGATTTAATTTTTTATTTTCTTTGTCAAAACATGGTCACTTGTTATATACTCCCTTCGCCCCATTTAGGGCCCGTTTGGTAAGATGTAAAGTAAACACTTTGCGTGTAAAGTGTGGGGAAGTAAACATTTTACACCGTTTGTTTTAACTATTTAATGTAAATTGTAGGACACTTTTTTAATAACACTTTACATTGTACCACGTAAAATATTTTACATGGGGGGAGGGTGGTAAACTACTTTACACTGTTAATTTGAGGCAGAATAAATATACCGGATTCCAACCTTGCGGCTCTGAAGACTCCATCGCATCGGCAAATCAAAAATATTGCCCGGAGGTTTTCTCCTACCAATCCTACGTAGTATACAAGAAAACAAGATGTTCTACAACCTACACATTAGATCGATCTGCTCTCCATCCACGTTAATTTGATATACTCAGCAACTATTTTTGCTTAGTTTTTTAAGAAACGCTTGGATATTTTTTTTCTTTTTTGTATATATATACATTATATGTATATACTTATGTACTGTAGTATATAAAGCCTGGGATTAGTCTTTGCTCGATCTGTTTATTTGCTTGGTTTATTTGCTGCTCGATCTCTTTTGACGAGAGATGGATTAATCCTTTTTTGCCACACATGTTTAATTCAGTTTGCGTGTAATTTAAAAATAGATAACACATAGCCAAACGATGGATTCTATTTTACATGTAAACTATTTTACAGTCCTAAACTTTACATGCAATCATTTTACATGTAAAGTTTTAATGAGTAAACTACCAAACGAGCCCTTAAATTTTTATGTTTTCCTCTTTGAGACATTCCATTTAATTCTTCACATTCCCTTCTTTTGTAACTCCTTTATATTAAGGTAGATTCTATGGTACCCTTAAGGTACCATACCTTTGTCCACATGGACCAATAAGAATGATGCAGTTGGATTATTTAAATCTAAATTAAAAGGAATACAATGATTTGGATCAATCAAATGCATAGTAGGTACGGTACCCCCATTTTTTGAATGGGTACCGGAGTTGTCACCTTATATTAATTGTTGTAACTAGCCTTCACCACTCACCAACTTTTTACATTTACTTGGATAACATTAATTACGCCCAAAAGTCAATCAAAAAAGGTGGAATTGCCTACTCCAGGCGCTCCCACACCCCATCCTGACAGAATGGTGGATGAGTAAGTCACGGTATAATCTCAAACGGTTTTCTGAGTGGATGGTTCAGGGCCTGGGCGCACAAGAAGTCACCAAATTGGATGAAACTCTCACACGGCCGTTGTCGAGAATTGAACCTGAGACTTCAATGCAACAATCTCACTCAGTCACCGTTGAACTACCCGTGGTCCCGTGCAGGTAATTACGATCAAAAGTCAAAGAGTATTAAATGTATTTTCTTTTCAATCTATTAATTGATCTTCTAAAACACCGTCCAAAAAGCAAACGTCAAGATTCAACCTATGCCGAGAGAGTATCATGGTACAACTTTTAGCATTGGATGTGGATTAGCTATTGGAAGTCCTACTGCAAGCTTTGAGTTGTATTGTTATATGTATATATGTAATGAATTACGATATCTCCCAAAATAAATAATAGTCGGTACACAATATCGCGTCATTGGATCACATAATACATGGACATTACCGTGTAGGCCCTATAGGGCATTCAAGAATTTTTAATTCTCGAACACCAATATTTGACGAATTACAACATTTGTTTCCATGACAAAAAAGGAAAGAACACTTTCCCTCTTTCCGACTATTCTCCTTCACCTCGTCCTATATATAGCCAGCCCACAAGAGTTCAGCAAAATATACTCAATCCTCTCTACTTTTCCAATCCTCTCTTTGTTTTTCCCTCTATTTGAAATTTTTCCCACCATACAAAAGACACATAAATAACATGTATAAGGGAATTAAGGAAGACCTAATGGCAGAGTTCCAGGAATCCTTCAATTTCTTTGACAAAGATGGTGACGGTTTGTGCCTAAACTTACCCTCTATTTCTGATGTTTTCATTTCTGTATTTAGGGCATATTTGAATTTTTTTTATTTTAGAGAAAAACATTTTCCTCCCAAAGATATCATAAACTGTGTTTATTTTATATGGGGATCCAACAGAGGCAGGGGTCCCCTGCCCCTCCTCAAACCCCACCCTCACCCCACTCTATGTATTTACAGACATCTATGTGATTATGTCAGTTTCATTTTTTAGCACTCTTTCTAATAGTAGCATTAGAATTTTGAGAAAATTTCTTTTAAAAAGGAGTAAAACTTTGCAAATTTTCTGAGAAGTTGCATTATTTTCTTCTAAATACATAACTTTTTATTCTTTTAATTAATAGGACTAATTAAGTACTTGTATTACTTTGGGAGGAAAATACATTTAGTCTTTTTTAAAATTGTGCCTATGATTTTCTCCCATTTGAGCCATTTCTATACAAGTTTCATAATGTGATGTAAAGAATGAGGCATCCAAGCTCTTCTTACCTAGGAATATTTTATGTTTTTGTCTCCTTTTGAAAGCTTTGAAGTTTAAAATGATCAAGAAAACTAATTTAACATGTTATTTGTGAAATATTACATTTTTATCATAGTTTTAATGACATAAATCATAGTTTTGTGTATACTTGCATAGTTGCATTGTTGCACATTTCTAACTTGCATAAATTTTAGATACATACTCCATACTTAATAGAGGTTTACCCTTAAATATTATTGAAGTTAACTCATAAACAAAAGTATTATTATAATTATAATGCACTATACCAAAAGAGTTGATTCATGCATGTACTTGCATTTCAAAATTTGTACGTAGTATATGTTTTTAAATTAGTGGATATTTTCTTTTAGACACTTTCAATTTTGCAAGTACCTTTTAATAACATGTCAAATACTTATAACTTTTAGAAGTATTTTAAAAGTATTTCAACAGTGTTTTTTCAATTACCTTATTAACAAACTAATTAATTTATATACGCAGGTTGCATTACAATAGAAGAATTGGCAACAGTGATCAGATCTTTGGATCATAACCCTTCTAAAGAAGAACTTCAGGATATGATCGATGAAGTGGATACCAATGGAAATGGAACCATCGAATTTTCCGAATTTATTAATCTCATGGCCAAGAAAATTAAGGTATTTTTTAAATCAGAATGTCGTCCCTAATCCAGAAATTACCCAAATTTAATAATCGATCCCTGGCCTTATTTAAATGTTATTTTGCACTGTTTCTTCCAAAACCAACCAGGAAACTGATGAAGACGAGGAGATAAAAGAAGCATTCAAGGTGTTTGATAAGGACCAAAATGGTTATATCTCTGCCAGTGAGGTGAGTTGATTAATTAGAAGTAATAAATATTTTTACTAAAGGTTTTTTAATAGATAGATTCTTCGAAGATCCGAAGTATATTTAATTTCCATATAAAATAATTACATATGTTTATCATTAAATAAATTTTGTTTACAAAATTTTGACTTCTTAAATTTAGTGATCTACTATAGTCTAGAGTAACTTTAATCATAATATTTTATGTTAATTTTTTATGCCTAATAAGTGATTATGATGCCATTATACTATGATAACTTTTTTGAACGAAGTACTATAGTAGCTTAAAATCATATTTTTGTAAATAAATATTATTCATTTTAAGGAAAACTCGCTTTCTATTTACTATATTAATGTGTGGTTGATTAGGTTAATAAGAAGTCAAACATGAAAGTCGTCTTTCCTACCTATCTCTTTGACTTATCAACTGGTTAAACTATATACTTACGAAACAATATTCTATTTAATGGATTAGATAATGCGATGAGTAAGCTAAACCACACGTCATATCCCTTATTTATCATAAAATGAATAATTATTAAATGAGCCTATAAGCGTGTATGTTTCAATTCAACCAGCTTTTTCATTCATTTTAGCCACAAGTCATAATGTAGCTGAAAGTTGTTTAATGCACTAATACTTACAGACAAATGTATACCTATATATATAAAACGGGCTCTAAGACTAATTCATTAATTACATTTAATAAAGAACGTTAGTCAATCAATGCCTTTTTAGTTAATAATGAAAATGAAACAGTGAGAATATAAAATGTATACTTTTTTACCCCCGGGGTCAAGGTTGGGGGAAGCCTTCTGGGATAAACCGGGTTCAAATTCCCTCCCTGGAGACTGGAGCTTCGAACCTGAACTTCTCATATGGGAGAGTGAGCCGGCGACAAGTTGAGCTATACCGCCTACTCAAAAAATGTATACTAGCTTCCGAACTTCATTTTTTGCGTGGTTGTGTATCCTTTTTGGATATTTATTCATAACAACAATAAGATTCAAGTCTTAATTTCAAAAGATTTTGGGGTGACTTTTTTCATAACGAAATAAAAAGAATATGTTAATTGTTTATTTATTTATGATTTTTCCCGTTAAAGTAACAAATCTTTTGACTTAACATAACAAGCAATGTTTTTACTAAAACAAACTAGCAATATATATATATATATATCGTTAAATAAAACTTTTTTACTTGTTGCAGTTGAGACACACGATGATAAATCTTGGAGAAAAACTTACTGAGGAAGAAGTTGAAGAAATGATAAGAGAGGCCGATTTGGACGGTGACGGTCAAGTAAACTATGATGAATTTGTCACCATGATGATGCATATTGGGTAGAGGCCATGCATTATGCATATGAGAGTTTTAATAACTCCATTCTTATACTATACAAGTAGTTTTAATTTTATCATTTACTACTTGTTAAATTAATGTTAATTTCGTTACAATTTGATTTCTCATTATGTAATGTACTTCTCAATATAACATTGTAATCTTTTATTTGAGTTATGTACACTACTATTTTGATGCTCCAAGTAAACTGTAATGTACTACGGAGTATTTGTCATTATATCTAACGTCTCACGGTCTCACCCCTCTTTTATAAAAGTTTATTTATCACTCAGCTTTGTCCCAGTAACATTTTGATGCTTCTGATTTACAATGTTCATCAAGTTAATGCATCTTCGAAAATGTTGTGGGAAGTGTTGCGAATTAAATTTTGGATATTATAAACTACAAGTTTATATTTTTTTTTTTTGCAAAAACAAAGTTTATATTTTTTTTTCTTTGCAAATAAACTACAAGTTTTATTAAATGGCAGAATATGAATATGAAACAATTTGAGAAAATTCCCTAAATAGGAGTAAAAAAAATTGAAATTACACAATATACTGATCCTCTACATTAACTTCATTCAATTCAACCATAAAATTAACTACAATATTACTTATTTTGATTATTACACAATCTCACGCGCGAAATCAAAAGAACGTTGCGTGTTTTATAAAAAAAAAAAGTTGAGTAATGACGCTAATAAGTTGAACTTGGGAGTTACCAAACATACTATAAAATTAACTGAATCGGCTTAATTTGCTTAAATTAATAAAATTGTGACTGATACGATTGAATTGAGTGAATATATTTAATTATGAAAAATATATATTGACAATATAAAGATATTGCAATCAATGATTCTCTATAGTAATTTCATCTAATTCAATTAGAAATGCAAATTCAACTTTACTTACTTCGATTATAAGGCCTCTGTCATTCCATCTCTTAGTAGAGTAGGAAAGGAAGAGGTTTTGGTCTTGTTATTGTAAAAGAATTGAACAATGAAAATAGATGAGTAATGCTTGATCGATTTGATCAGGTCATGAAGGAACAATGTTCAAGTCTATCAATCTCGCAACTGCATACATCACTGCACTTCCACTTGACACCTATCATAATGATAAACAGCTCATCTCGCCGTGACCTTCATAACAATTGAACGCGTAAAATGAAAAATTATACTTCATACTCCGTATTTAGTAAAAACATTTGATTGATAAGAATGATAAATCAAAAATATAGATTATCAAAAGCGCTCTATGTATTTAATTCTTTGATTTTTGTATAAAAACCAATGTAGTTATAATTTCACATTATACTATCTATATACTCCGTACAAGTTAAATGACTTTAATTTATATTACTCCCTCCGTCCCAAAATAATGGTCATGTATTTCCTTTTTGGGATGTCCCAAAATGATGGTCCTGTTTCCCTTTTTGGAAAGAAATATATGGTCCACAACATTTCACGTTTTTCTACTCAAATCTCAACCACAATTTTTACTTTTTCAACCATTTTATTAAAATTTGTGCCTAAAAGAAATGAGACCATCAAATTGGAACGGAGGGCCTGAGGAGTATTGATTATTGATCTCCCAGTGGAGGCTTTGGAAAAACTGAAGACATTCAAAGAGACCGTGTTGTGCTGGCTTCGTGTTTTAAATTGGAAGTACATGCGTATACTAATACTCCGTATAATAATAAAAGCGTTGATAAAAAAAAAAGTCCAAAATATTAAATTCCACTGTCAGAACCGTATTGTACTTCTTTCTGTCACAAGCTGTACGGTTTCTCTTTCTATTTAAAATAGTTGGGGAAGGAATGGAAAAATCTGAGAATAATCTTCAATAATCCAGATTTTATATTTCATACCAGATTTTAATTCCATAAAACTTTTATATCAATCAAACAATAGTAAAACCATTGCTTTACCATTACCAACATGAGTAAATTAAGAAGGCATATGATTAATGATATCCAAAAGTCAATAGCTTAAATTCAGAACACACTTGTTTTTGTTGTCCTAGTTAGAAAAAAATTCACAATAGAAGAATCCAAAATTAGCCAGTTTTACCAGCTCATAATTATCACAAAATGAAATTCGATATGGAAAAAGAACAATGAAAAAAATATCTGATATGACTTGTTTTCTATGTAAAAAAAAGTCGTGTAGCTGGAGATCGATCTGCGATGAAAAGGAGAATCCAAGAGAGTAATGAAAGTGGAGAAATGTTACAAATACAGGACCAAAACAATTTATCTTCTCACCTGGAGATTATGAGAAAGCAGCTGAAGCCTTTCACCATGAGTCCCAAAGAGACTGCAATTGTGGAGTATGCTTATGTTAAAACGAAATTAATGTATTAGCAAGTCATAAGTCAATCCTTGAGAAAACTGGACATATTGACTACCCACTTTAGAAGAGGATTTCATGCGAGAATTAGAAAAAACAGTTGCACAAGAAACAAAAGTATATTAGAAAACCCACCAATATATGAAGGATTATAAAACTATTTGAACAGAAATGAAGGCAGTTTCTGATATTCACTTGGAAGAATAAAGGATAGGAGCTTATCAAACATTCAAACAAATTCAACAAGCACACATAGTAAGAACAACAAATACATCACCTTACCGATCAAGAAGCTGACATTATAAGTTCAACGAAGCATCTCAGTCTAAAGTTATCTATTCAAAATCAACTAGACTATTTTTTTCTTTTTGTTGAACTATGGGTAGTGAACTTGCTAGTTATTAATTATTAATTGAAACCAAATACCCAAATAAGTAAAGACATCTCATTAATCTAAAATTAGATGTATCAACGTAATTAGAATTTGTGTCTCATACAAGCCATAGAACTAAAATTATTCTTCTTCTCCTAGAATTTATCAACTCATCATCATCATTACCCCAGTGCCTCAAAGGCTCCTCCTACCTACGGTGGGGTAAGAGGGGGATGTAAGCAGTCTTACCCCGGTACTAAAGCACAGAGAGATTGTTTCCAAATGACCCATAGTGAAAATTCCGTCGAAAACTAGAATTTATCAACTAAATTAATTAATTAATTGATTATTTAATAACTACATAAAATTTTTCAAACATTACATTCCAAACTTTACACCAATGATTAGTCTAAACTCTAAAGCACGTGCAACCGCTCTAAAGCACACACTCAGCAGTTACCATTACAAAAACTAAAACCTTGTTCAGCGGCTCAGTGTAAGCCTTTTAAGGACACGAACCACACCGAGTAACTTTAGGTTAGCCAAGGCGTGAGATTCCATGAAAGATGTGAGCCATGCCGATTCATTTTCGGTACATTTAGCCAAGCCGTGAGGCTCAACGGGGAGGCATGCCTCACAGAATATATGTGCACATCATTCCTCAGAGCATTTATTACCCGTACGTTTAGCCAAACAAATAATTACAAAATCTTGGGATGAAATTGTCAAACAATCACAGGGAACAAGCAGATAACGAAGAAATAAGACAAGGAAGAGGCTAACATAGTGATGTACATAGGTGCTGCTGCACCAGTGGTAAGAGGAGGAGGAGGAGGAGGAGGAGGAGAATTGAAAAGCCGATGAAGGTGAAAATGGAGAGTTGTTTCTTATTTGTGCCTCTGTGGAAAGTGTCCGCTCCGTAACTACGTTTAATCAATAGATAAACAAATCTAAACCCATAACTTGGCAGAGGAAAAGTCTAAACCTACTATGATAAAAACTATAAGGCTACAAAGCGGGCAAGCAGCAGAGACGAGTGCCTCAGGTAACGCGGAGGTGGCATGATGTGAGTGCCTTCTGGAATCTGCAGCGCCCTGAGTTGTCGATGTCAAATTCCTGGTGCACCCTTGACTGCGCCTCAGGTGTGCTTTTTAAAACTAAGATCAGCAGAAACTTTTATACCAGCTAATTCAAGCAAAAGTCCCCTGTTTAATTCCTTCCAGCCCTCACAAAAAAAAAGCCAAACCTAAATAGCATTACAGCTGAATAACGACACGAATCTGTCATTGAAAATTTATGACCAGCTTACCATAAAACTTACTAAATAGAATTACAACTATTGAACCAAATGATTGGGAATAAAAAATTAAAAAATAAAAAGTTCCATTCTACAGGAACACAAGGCAAATCTATTTGACACTAATATCCCGTTTGGTAACACTAAAATTGGTTGAATCGGCTAAATCTATTAAAATTAATGCAGTTCTGTTTGCAATGGCTGAATTGGTTGAAGTAGATGAACTATGGAAAAATAATATTTAAGATATATTTTATTAATAAAATAAAGATGTATGAAAAAAAGTTAAAATGGTCCTCTACCGTAACTTCAGTCAATTCAACTAAAAAAGTAACTTCAACCTTACTTATTTTGATTTTTTTAAGAAACTTATTTTGATTATTAAATAATTCAGTGCGCATAATCAAAATTCAAAAGTTACATCATCATTACCCCAATGCCTCAATGGCTCCCACCTACGGTCAAAAGTTACATGCTTGTTAAAAAAATTAGCTGATAAGTTGAAAATGTGGGTTACCAAATGGGTTCTAAAACTGTTTCATCTTTAACATACACTCCCTATGAACAAAAAACATAAGGAAGAAAAGGAAATCATTCAGCAAGACTACTTGCATGAGTATCTGGCACCAAGCATGCTATCAAGGTGACCAGAAATGAGAAGAAATGGGAGTGGAATACTGAAGATGGCAATGCAGAGGAGAGTAAAAGAGAAGAAAATGCAAATGTTAGAATACAATTCAGGGATTTAATAGGGATGTTAATTGTAGAGATATCCTGATTTACATTTGTAAAGGGGTTAAAACTACTTTTATGGGACTTTCACTTTCTTTAAAATGTTTCCAATCCACCTCAAATTACTAATCTTCCTTCTAAGAAAGAACTGAGAAAATTATGAATACATTACCTATTTATTCATTCTAATTATTATGTCATACCCGTCAATGCTATCACCCACAAGAACGACTAACAAAATGAAACACAAAAATAATAAAATCAATGAAGATAATTTACTCCTTTTAAATTTTAGAAATCATGATGTAACACACGAGACCTAAAAACAACCAGTATTTTAGATGTTAAAGTCGCTAGGTAAAAGAGTTGTACTATGTCCTGTTTAAAAAATCAAAATTGACAGAACCAATATTTGTAACAAGAATTATTTTTCAGTACTAGTATGTCATGCTTGTTAAAGAATTAAACACTAAGATCAGTTTAGAAAAATATTTTTACAAATATTACCTAT